GGGCGAGGACTCAGTGCCGGCGACACGGAGGTGACCTGCTTGTGTTGCAGGATGCCGCTCTCATGCTGGCTCTTATGCAACTCTTCCACTCCCAAGGTTAAGGCAGAGCGTTGAAGGGTGAGCTCATTAGGATGGACTTAACGAAAGAGAGTGTGTCTTGTGCTTGCTTGCCATGTGTGTTTTTGTAATGTAGGTGTGTGTTTGTTTGTGTGTGTTATGTGTGAGTGTGTTTGTGTGTGTGTGTGTTATGTGTGCGTGTGTTTGTGTGTGTGTTGTGTATGTGCGTGTTTGTGTGTGTTGTACTCACCTAATTGTGCTTGCGGGGGTTGAGCTCTGGCTCTTTGGTCCCGCCTCTCAACCGTCAATCAACAGGTGTACAGGTTCCTGAGCCTATTGGGCTCTATCATATCTACACTTGAAACTGTGTATGGAGTCAGCCTCCACCACATTGCTTCCTAATGCATTCCATTTGTCAACCACTCTCACACTAAAAAAGTTCTTTCTAATATCTCTGTGGCTCATTTGGGCACTCAGTTTCCACCTGTGTCCCCTAGTGCGTGTGCCCCTTGTGTTAAATAGCCTATCTTTATCAACCCTGTCGATTCCCTTGAGAATCTTTAATGTGGTGATCATGTCCCCCCTAACTCTTCTGTCTTCCAACGAAGTGAGGTTCAATTCCCGTAGTCTCTCCTCGTAGCTCATACCTCTTAGCTCGGGTACTAGTCTGGTGGCAAACCTTTGAACCTTTTCCAGTTTAGTCTTATGCTTGACTAGATATGGACTCCATGCTGGAGCCGCATACTCCAGGATTGGTCTGACATATGTGGTATATACTGTTCTGAAAGATTCCTTACACAAGTTTCTAAAGGCCGTTCTTATGTTAGCCAACCTGGCATATGCTGCTGATGTTATTCTCTTGATATGAGCTTCAGGGGACAGGTCTGGCGTGATATCAACCCCCAGGTCTTTCTCTCTCTCTGACTCTTGAAGTATTTCATCTCCCAAGTGATACCTTGTGTCTGGTCTCCTGCTTCCTACTCCTATCTTCATTACATTACATTTGCTTGGGTTAAACTCCAACATCCAATTGTTCGACCAATTCAATTGTGTGTGTGTGTGTGTGTGTGTGTGTGTGTGTGTGTGTGTGTGTGTGTGTGTGTGTTTTTCTGTGTGTGTATGTGTGTGTGTTGTGTGTGTGTGTGTGTGTATGTACTAGCCGGGAGATCATTTACGTATATCAGAAACAAGATAGGACCGAGTACAGAGCCCTGTGGGACTCCACTGGTGACTTCACGCCAATCGGAGGTCTCACCCCTCACTGTAACTCTCTGCTTCTTATTGCTTAGGTACTCCCGTATCCACTGAAGTACCTTACCAGTTACTCCTGCCTGTCTCTTCAGCTTATATACCAGCCTCTTATGGAGTACTGTGTGAAAGGTTTTCCGATAATCCACGAAAATGCAGCCCGCCCAGCCTTCTCTTTCTTGCTTAATCTTTGTCACCTGGTCGTAGAATTCTATTAAGCCAGTAAGGCAAGATTTACCCTCCCTGAACCCATGTTGACGGGTTGTCACGAAGTCCCTTCTCTCCAGATGTGTTACTAGGTTTATCCTCACGATCTTCTCCATTACCTTGAATGGTATACAAGTCAAGGACACTGGCCTGTAGTTCAGTGCCTCTTGTCTGTCACCCTTTTTGTACATTGTGAATACATTAGCCGTCTTCCATATTTCTGGTAGGTCTCCCGTCTCCAGTGACCTACTATACACTATAAAGAGTGGCAAGCAAAGTGCCTCTGCACACTCTTTCAATATCCATGGTGAGATCCCGTCTGGACCAACAGCCTTTCTCACATCCAAATCCAACAGGTGTCTCTTGACCACATCTCTCGTAATTTCGAACCCTTCCAAGGCCGCCTGGTTTACTTCCCCCTCTCCTAGCACAGTGACTTCACCTTGTACTATTGTGAAAATCTCCTAGAACCTCTTGTTGAGGTCTTCACACACCTCTTTGTCATTCTCTGTATACCTGTCTTCGCCTGTTCTAAGTTTCATCACCTGTTCCTTCACTGTTGTTTTTCTCCTGATGTGACTGTGGAGTAGCTTTGGTTCGGTCTTGGCTTTATTAGCTATATCATTTTCATAATTTTTCTCATAATATGTGTATGTGTATGTGAGTGTGTGTGTATGTGTATGTGTATGTGTGTGTGTGTGTATGTGTATGTGTGTGTGTGTGTATGTGTATATGTGTGTGTGTGTGTGTTGTGTGTGTGTATATGTGTGTGTGTGTGTGTTGTGTGTGTGTCTATGTATGTGTACGCTACATGTATCTGTATGATGTATGTTGTATGTGTGTATTCTATACATATTTGTGTGCTGGATGAGTGTATTCTGTGTACTCTTTATGTACTGATTGTGTGTGTGTATACTGAAATAATTTTACTCACGTAATTGTGCTTGCTAGGGTTGAGTTCCAACTCTTTGGTTCCGCCTCTCCACATTAAATCAGCTGTTGAGCCGACGCCGGAGCTGACCTGGCTCTGTTATTTCATATCCTACTGTATGAAGACTACTTTCAACACTTCACTTGCATTCACTCTATTCTACTTCTACTTCTACTCTCTCTCTCTCTCTCTGTCTCTGAGATTCCACCGTGACCCTTTGTTCGTACGCAAACTATTCCAAATCATACAGCCTGTGTGCCCTGTCAATTCCCCTGAGAATTTTGTATGTTACAATCATGTCTACACAAATTGTTAACTCTATGTAGCTTAAGGTTGAATTACTTTCCTCACAACTCTCGCCTCTGCTCTTGTGGTATCCATCTACACTTTTTGTTCGGCATATTCCAGAATTATCGAGACATACGTAGTAAGTCAGGTACTGAATCCTTATTCAGGTTTCTACAGAGACAGGTTCGGTGTGATACCAACCCAGAGGTTTTGATGTTTGATTCTGAAAAGGGTTTCTCACCAGTTTGGTATCTGTTCCTCTATGTATTCACCTATTTGTGCTTGCGGGGGTTGAGCTCTGGCTCTTTGGGCCTGCCTCTCAACCGTCAATCAACTGGTGTACAGGTTCCTGAGCCTACTGGGCTCTATCATATCTACATTTCAAACTGTGTATGGGGCACATCACTGCCTAATGCATTCCATCTGTTAACTACTCTGACACTGAAAAAGTTCTTTCTAACGTCCCTGTGGCTCATGTGGGTACTCAGTTTCCACCTGTGTCCCCTTGTTCGCATACCACCAGTGTTGAATAGTTTATCCTTGTCTACCCTGTCAATTGTGTGTGTGTGTGAATACTAGCTATGGTGACTACTAGTTATGGTGACTGTAATAATTATAGTGACTGTACTAGTTATGATGACTCTACTAGCTAATGGTGACTCTACTAGTTTTGGTGACTACTAGTTATGCTGACTGTACTAGTTATGGTGATTATTAGTTATGGTGACTACTAGTTATGGTGATTCTACTAGTTAGGCGACTGTACTAGTTATGGTACAGTCCCTCCATTTCAGCAATCTCTCCTGCTCTGAAGGGGGAAGTGAGTACTGAGCAGTACTCAAGACGGGACAACACAAGTGACTTGAAGAGTACAACCATTGTGATGGGATCCCTGGATTTGAAAGTTCTCGTAATCCATCCAATCATTTTTCTGGCTGACGCAATATTTGCTTGGTTATGCTCCCTAAACGTTAGGTCGTCGGACATCATTATTCCCAAATCCTTGACATGCTGCTTTCCTACTATGGACACATTTGATTGTGTTTTGTTCCCTGTATTATGTTTAAGGTCCTCATTTTTGCCGTATCTGAGTACAGTACCTGGAATTTATCACTGTTACACTTCATGTTATTTTCTGCTGCCCAGTCGAAAACTTTATTAATTGTTACTAGTCAACATAACTAGACTCTACTAGTTATGCTGACTACTTATGTGACTACTAGTTATGGTGACTCTACTAGTTATGGTGACTCTACTAGCTGTAGTGACGGTAATAGTTATGGTGACTACTAGTTATGGTGACTACTAGTTATGGTGACTCTACTAGCTGTAGTGACGGTAATAGTTATGGTGACTACTAGTTATGGTGACTCTACTAGCTGTGTTGACTAATAATTATGGTGACTGTACTACTTATGGTAACTCTACTAGTTATGGTGACTCTACTAGCTGCAGTGATGGTAATAGTTATGGTGACTACTAATTATGGTGACTCTACTAGTTATGGTGACTACTAGCTGTGGTGACTACTAGCTGTGGTGACTACTAGCTGTGGTGACTACTAGTTATGGTGACTACTAGCTGTGGTGACTACTAGTTATGGTGACTACTAGTTATGGTGACTACTAGTTATGGTGACTACTAGTTATGGTGACTACTAGTTATAGTGACTACTAGCTGTGGTGACTACTAGCTGTGGTGACTACTAGTTATGGTGACTACTAGTTATGGTGACTACTAGTTATAGTGACTACTAGTTATGGTGACTACTAGTTATAGTGACTACTAGCTGTGGTGACTACTAGTTATAGTGACTACTAGTTATAGTGACTACTAGTTATAGTGACTACTAGTTATAGTGACTACTAGTTATGGTGACTACATATTAATATCACGCCCCTGACCATGGAAGGGACCCCGGGCCTGACACGACTACTACTCAGGCATCACAGTTTCGGAATAGCGTAGTATGACATAGGGGCCTGACAGCTGAGTGGACAGTGGTTCGGATTCGTGGTCTTGAGATTCCGGGTTCGATCCCCGGCGCAGGCGGAAACAAATGGGCAGACTTATTTTCACCCTGATGCTCTGTTCACCTTGCAGTAAATAGGTACCTGTGAGTTAGACAGCTGCTACGGGCTGCTTCCTGGGGGTGTGTAACAAAAAGGAGGCCTGCTCGAGGACCGGGCCGCGGGGACGCTATAAGCCCCGAAATGATCTCAAGATAACCAGTAATTCAGTCCCCGTGGTGTAGTGGTAAAAGACTCGCCAGGCGCTTCGCGAGCGCTTTGGCCTAGGTTCGAATCCTGGCCGGGGAGGATTGACTGGGCACCAATCCTTAACTGTAGCCACTGTTTACCCAACAGTAAATGGGTACCTGGTTGTT